GAGGCGACGCGCGTCCCTTACCTGGCGCCGCGGGGGACCGCACCGCCACCCATCACGGAAGTGGAGCCTTTGGGTCGTTGGAACGGGATGCGGAGCGCACGGGAGTGAGCTGTTTGTCCCGGGAGACAAGCAAGCAGCGAAGTCCAGACAACGCTTCCCACTCTTCCATTCCAAAGGCCTGTCTTCTCTACTTGGTGCAGTCTCATCCGGCCAAGTGCTCAGGCTGAGGATGGGCAGGGAAGGGGTTCCCTTGGGACCGCAGTGGCTTCAGGACACCCTCCCCCCATCTGCCCTGCCCCTTCCCATCCTTCACTTCCAAGAAGTTCAGCTGTAGGCACTTGGGGGTCAACCAAGATCGTCTCTTCGTCCATGCACCCCTCACCTTGCTCGGATCCCCTGGGTGGTGTGAATGGTTAGGCGCTGGCTATTGGGTAAGAGCACCCATCCAAATGTGCCTCGGAGGTAAGGCCTCGCGATCTGCTTCCAAAAGATCACAGCCTTGCAAACCCTATGGAGCCCCGTTCTACGGTGCACACATGGTGCATCAGGAGTCAGAACTGACTTGACAGCAACTAATAATAACCACCTTGTTGGGTGGTGGCCAACCACTTCCTGTGTCCTGGGGAAGCCTCAGTTTTCTCACCTGCAAAATGGGTGTCGTGAGAGCACCCACTTTACAGATGACCAAAAAACCCATCACTGTGCAGTCTATTCCCTTTCATAATGACTCTATAGAAGTGCCCCATAGGGTTTCCGGGGCTGTAATCTTTACAGAAGCAGACTGCTGAATGTTTCTCTTGCAGAGTGGCTAGTGAGTTAGGCTCACTGACCTTCACGTAAGCAACCGGGCGCTTAACCACTGCACCACCAGGGGATTCTCTTGCAGACAACAGACACTGGTGATTACCCTCCAACATTCACTGCCTTTGAAAATACATTTAGAGCACATACTATGCACCAGGCACAAGGCCACAGCCGTGAACAACAGAGTCCCAAACGTCTGCCTTGAGGGAGCTTGGTTCTAGAGCGACAAAGCCCAGAAACAAGATGAATACGAAAAACAAATAGTAGGTCAGGAGCACCAATGGTTAAGTGCTTGGCTGCTCACTATAAAGGGCAGGAGTTTGAACCCATCCAGCGCCTCTGAGGGAGAAAGACCTGGTGATCTAGCCCATAAAGATTACAGCCTGGAACTCCCTTTGGGACAATTGTACTCTCAGCTGGGGTCACTATGAGTCTAACCTGATTTGACTGCACGACAGCAACACAGAAGGTCAGACTGTGACGGCTTCTAGAGAAACCCCAGGGGAGGGGACAGGAGATGCCGATGGGTTGACATTTCCAGTAGGGTTTCTGGGAAGCCTGGCTGAACAGGTGGCCTGGGAGCAGACGACAGAAGGAAGTGAGGACGTGTGCCTGCGCAAGTGTCTGGGGAGAGAGTGCTGGGCAGAGGCCGGGTCCAGGCTGAGGGCATTGGAGACACTAGAAGCCAGCAGCCCAGTCACCTGGGGCCCAAGCTCTCGTTGGTGGCAGGCCCTGTGCTGCTCCCAGCCTCAAGCCCCCTCTGTAGGGTGGGGCAGCATCAGCTTCCTTCGCAGAGGGTGGCTGGATGGGGAGTCCATGCGACCCAACTCTGGGCCTGGTCCCTAGTGAGGGCTCTGTCATCATGGCTCCTGATGGATGAGGATGAGGCTGTATTATGAGGCTGTCGGACCGAGACGCCCAGATAGCTGTGCCCAAGATCCAATTCTCTGTTGCCCCAGAAATCTAGGTTCTGTGGCTGGAAGGTGCCCTGTGACGTCTCGGAATAGAGAGCCAGGAATGAGAATTATGGAACTCCTGGGTGCTGGGAACAGTTAACAGCTGAACAAAAGTTTGGCAATTTGAACCTACCCAGAGGTGAGTCAGAAGAAAGGCCTGGTGATCTGAAAAATCAGCCATTGAAGACCTACGGAGCACAGTTCTACCCTGACAGACGTGGGGTCACGGTGAGCAGTGGCGTCACTGTGGGGGTGCAGTGGGGTGTGGACTGCGCTGGATGGCACTATAGAGGGGGTGACGCCAAAATGACTGTCGATAACATTTTTGTGCCGTGTTTCAGCAGAAATTGGTTATTTTGTATACAAACATCCCTGCGGTTAGTTATAATAACAAAAACATTTTTCAGGAGCCCGGCTTCCAAGTATTATTGATACACCTACAAGGCTGAAACTATGAAAATTTACTTCTTGAACATTCTAATGTGGCGGCTCAGAGCTGTCATGCTACTCAATCACAATGAGCTGCCAATCACTTGGTTTCATCAGCACACGCAACAAGCATGTGCTATTGATTTCACTGCTGCTGGTGTCCCCATAGTCTCTGATTTTGTCAAATTTTCTGGTGTTTTAGCTACACTGTTGTGGCAAGTAGTTTTTTTGAACCTATTTCAGTAACTTTTTTGAGAATGTAGTAATTGAAGGAAAAGGAGGAGAGAAATAAAAAAAGGCTTCTGCTCAGTTACTAAGAATGCTGTCATTCAATGCAGAAAGATTTTACAAAACAATTTTGTTGTTAATATTCATATAACCTAAGAAATGTTACATTTAAGTATTTTATAACTATATCACATTTCTATGATCAAAAATTGATAATAAACATGTATAAGAATTACTGGTTGTATAACTCTTTGATACCTAAATAGAGAAATGGACAGTTTAAAACATGAAGTGGAACCCATAGATTGGGAGAAAATATTTGCCTATGACATATCTGATAAAGGATTTATCTCTAAAATCTA